GGTGCTGCCTGCAGTGTACCCCCTGAGGTGCCTGACCTTTAATGATCTAGAAATGTTGCCTTTTGCTAGAGTCTATTCCATCATCAGTCTTCCTGTACTTTTTGCCAAGATTCTATCCCAAGAGGGTTTCACTGCAAGTGCGCTTCAATAAATCCTTATCTGATCTTGCCATGGCTCTAGCAGCCTCTGAGTCTTCAACTGCCGATACTTTGATACCGAGTATCTTCAGCCTTTAAAGGGTGAACCTACACCAGAGGAATCGTCTTCTGCAATCACTCAAAAAATCGTATGATAATCGGCAGGTGTATGTGCAGTGTGCGACCGCATCTACTGTACCTTCGCCCGACTTGTCTTCCTAGCACGCTGGAAAACCTGCCAAAAATCGTACACTTTTCGGTGGGTTTGGTAGCGTGCTTGGAAGATGAAAGCCGCATGGTCCGTTGTGCGCAAGCGCACACTGCCCACTCAGCATTGCAATCATCGGCAAGCCCTCCCCTCAGCTGGGTGGGCTTGCGATGATCGCAAGTACGATCTGCCTGTCCAAGATGGGCAGGTTGTACGAAATGTTAATGACCTTACAACCATCGCACAACGAAAGTCGTGCGATGGTTGTAAGGTGTATGGCCAGCTTAAGACTTAAGACCTTCCCATTGCATCTTCTATTCTTATTCATTCTTTCTTTATGGAGAATGGAAAAAACCCTGAAAGATTGTTTGTCCCTCCCAAACATATATCAGCCTTATACCCCTTTAAGGAGGATTTTGTTAAAAAGTGACTCCATTCTTTATTAATTTGGTTCTCTTGACACTACAAAAACCACCTATCTACAGTATATTCCCCATTACACTTTCACTCACAAGGTTGCGTTTCTTCTTATCCCTTCTGCGAGGCTAGTGTCTGAGCTGGTGGTTTTATTCCATAAACAATCCTTTACAGTCTTTTCACAAGGACAAGGTGGTATTGCAGACCAGAACTTCCTACCTATGGTATTTTTGGCCCTTCACTGTTAAGCAGGTCATTGTTCCTCCCATCTCGCTGTGCATCTCCAGTTCATCAGAAGACCTTGCTCAGTTTCTTGGATGCAATTTGCGTTGTGTGAGTTTACCACAGCCACTGCTTCTAACAGAAAGTCTGACTCTGTCATTTCTGATAGTCTCGATAAGGGTGAAGCTGCTTCTTATGGTCCTAATGATTGGGTTCCCCCCTTTCTTTGAGTTCACTAAGGTCCCACCGCTCTGTGTCTATGATCATTCTCTTGGTAATGCTTTTCCAAAAAACTGAGGCATGTCAGGAGCCGCCCAGTGTGTTGGCAGGCAGTCTTGGGATCGTCTGACAGTTGAAAAGAATCGGAGGTTCTTCAGGGTGTCAGGCGACCAAAAGAATGATGTGAATGATGGTAGTGAGGGCAGGGGGATTAAAGGAGCAACGCGTTTCGAGGCATACCTCTTTTGCAAGCTCTACAAAAAGCAATGTTAGTCGGCGGTCCAGTGCGATCTGCAAAAATGCTGCAAGCACTATTTTTGCAGATTGCACTAGACTGAAATGCAGGCACTAATGTGCTTGCGTTCCAGGTGCGGGGGGCATGGCTGCAGTGCCATTGACTTCAATACAACCCCACGCCCCTTCCCGACCCTGAACGCAGGGAGTCAGCCGGCTTGCATTCCAGTGCGTTCTAGAGGCACCGGCGTCCTGTTTTCCCGCGGTGCCCGTGTGGCCGACGTTGCACACGGGGAGAGGTGTCCTGCCCCTTTCCGTCTGCAGCGTCTAACACATTCAGCTGGCAGCCACACAAACACCGCGGGAGCATAGATGTAGCCAGCTCCTTTTGCGCCCTCGAGGCAAGAAAAAAACCGTGCCCCCCAACAGGTGTGTGACATCACCCTGCCTCCAGGATTTTTTTAAAAAAAATATTTTTACTGTTGGAGGGGTTTCGGGGGAAATATTAGGGGTCTAAACAGCCCCCTGATATTTTCCTTTTAAAATAGAAAAAGAAACTGAGGACACAGAGTCCTCAATCTCTTTTTCTGCAGCCTCTGTTCTAAATGAATGGAAAGCACAGAGGCTTCCCATTCATTCAGAAACTATTTACTATCAAGCAGTTTCTGAATGGGGAGGAGCCTCTGTAGTGAGTGCTACTCCCCATTGAGAAACTCATGAATGAACAGGAAGTGATGTAAATCACATCCTGTTCATTCATAACTGGGGACACATAGTACTATGTGTCCCCAGTTATTTACAAACACTGGAGTGATCAGCTGATCGCTTGTGTTTGTTCTGCACAGAGGATCGGAACATATCACTGATACCGTGTTTCCCGGAAAATAAGACACTGTCTTATATTTTTTTTGGCTCAAAAAACACACTAGGTCTTATTTTCGGGATAGGTCTTATTTTTTTTTTTTCATGTACAACAATCCACACTTATTCATGTACAACAATCCACACTTATTCATGTACAACAGTCTACATGCATTCATGTACAAAAATATGGTGATCAGGGGTGCCGTACCTTTCCAAGAGCAATTTGCTAACCAATCGCTGGCCAGAATGAGCGAAGCGCGCTTTCACTATCATTCCTCACAGGCGGAGTGCATTTGGTATCACTCCGCCTGTGACAGGAGGCGGCGCTTTAGAGTAGTGCTCCCCAACCTTTTTATCGCCGCGGATCGGTCAACGGTTTGATAATTTTACCGCGGCCTGCTGAGCGGGGGGCGTCGATTGTTTATATTTTAGATTGTTTTGATTTAATAATTTTAATTTAATTGTATTTAAACATGCCTTCAAAATAAAATATAGTTACACCAAAAAATTAACTCACTGGTGTGTGGGAATCACCTGTCCCGATAAATCCATATTTCAAGTAGGACTCATGGTATTGTCTGTTAAAAGTTACATGTTTCTTTGATGTTGAAGGCCCTTCTTCTGTCTCTTCACTGGGCCTTTTCTTTTTCCCAAGGAAACTTTCTAACGACGTCTGTTTCGTACTAATTTTTGCTCATTTGTGGGTTAAATTTGAGCAAACACAATATACACGTACACCAAGCACTGTTAAACATGAGAAAGTACCGGTGAACAGAGAGAAGAGCGATACACACCTTCTCTTTACCAAAGCTACAACGCCACTGCCGCTTGCAGCCGCTCAGCTCCAGACGTCACCTAAAACCGCCCCGATATCACGATATTTTGCGCATGCGCGGTATTGGTGCGGCTTTAGGTGACGTCTCTCAGCTCCCGGTTAACCTCTCGTCCTGGAAAGTCGGACAAACCCGAGAGAAATACACCACAGTAAATAAAATGGAAATAATTTAATGTTCCTTGGGCGGCCCGGTACCATTTGATCCACGGACCGGTACCGGTCCGCGGCTCAGGGGTTGGGGACCACTGCTATAGAGGAAGCGTCGGCTTATGTGGCTCTGCCACCCTACGGTGCCGCCTCGCTCCCTCTAGCGCCGGCTTCGTTGGCACCGCTGATTCTTTCCTGCCTCTACCGCGACTCTTCAAGTTCCCCCTTATGGCTCCACCGGCCCTGGGAATGGTCACAACTAGGTCTTATTTTCGGGGTAGGTCTTATATTTTAGCAATTCCCAATAATAGTACTAGGTCTTATTTTCAGGGTAGGTCTTTTTTTTTTCCGGGGAAACAGGGTATGTACCGATCCCCCGCCGCTCGGTGCGGGTCAAGGGTGGCAGGCTAGACGTTCTCTCTGCCCGTCTCTCTCTTAAGCGCCGGTCCACGTCGATGGACCTTATCATGAGGACCTTATCATGAGTGCCAGTTCAGCCCTTGCGAGCTCATCTTTGAGGTTTTCAGAAAGGCCCAGACGGAACTGGTTTCTCAGGGATATGTCATTCCATTCAGAATCCCGAGCCCAGCGTTTGAATTGAGAGATGTAATCTTCTACAGGTCTGGTGCCTTGTCTCAAACTGCGTAGTGTGGCCTCCGCTGTGAGCTGCTTGCTTGAGTCCTCATACAGGAGAGCCATAGCGTGCAAGAATTCCGGAAGGGAATCGAGGATGGGATCTTCGGTTTCAAGATAGGTGTTAGCCCAGGCCCTAGGTTCCCCACGCAAGTAGGAAATAAGTGACCGGACTTTAACTGCGTCATTAGGGTAAGTACGAGGTTTAAGATCAAACATAAGTTGACACGCACTTACGAACTCACGGAAGTGTCTCCTGTCTCCAGTGAATAATTCAGGCGGGGAGACCTTGGGCTCTGGACCCTCTCTGGGATCGGGGTGGTTGTTGACATGACCCACCACGTAATTACGCAATCTCTGATTCTCCTCCTGTAGATCGGTGACTCTAGTGGTAAGGGCCTCCATGCGTTGTGTGAGGTTTGCGAAGTGGCCGGCAAGTTCCGCTGGATCCATTTTTTGAAGGTTCTCTCGTTATGTCAAGGCTGGACCAGTGAT